ATGGAGTAAGTTTTGTCAGAAGATTTGGGCAATTTTATATCACTTCAAAGAAAATGAACACAGAAAAACAGTGACAGTGAATATGATATACCAAAAATTAATATAACCTTTATATATATACATAGATTTATTTAAACATATTTTTTATAAATTAATCATTTTTATATTCTTTTTGTTAAAACCATAGGTATAATATGTTTCATATAATTTCATAATATACTTTAAAAATGTAAAAGGAATTTATATAAAACATTAATTCTACAATATTTTTTTTGTATATGTATGTAGCTACTGTATAACGTAATACCAATAAATACGAAAATAATTGATTAAAATATTTTAATTGTATACAGTTTGCTAATTTATTTCAAACAATATATAATGAATTGTATAAAATATTACATACAATTGTAAATACAATTCATTATAAATACTTTGAAATAAGCATTTTAGCAAAATGATGTGTACGATTAAAAAATATTAATTGATTATTTTCAAATATGTATATACCTTTCAATTTTTTTACCGTCAATTATTTACCATCATATCATGAGTTAAAATTTATCTAAATATGATGAGAAACATTGCTGCATGTAGTACAGTAAATCTGGCCCTCATATGTGCCTCATAGGTTTCTTCATTTCAATGTCTTAAATGGTATGTCTATTTTACGTAAATTACGAAAGTAATTCGATTTACGAAAAGTTGTCTTCGTGTTTAGTATTCGTTTGACTCATGAAATGCAGACAATATGTTACAAATTTTTACGTTCACAAGGTGAGCAACCTTTACACATGTCGTGATGATACGAATAGTAAATTTTTCGTAAATATGAAGTAAATGTGGCTATCGGGGTAGATTTGACTGGACTAATTTTACAAAATTAAAACGATTTATATTTCATGCCAGCAAATGAGGAAAAAAGTATGCCTACAGATAAGGCAAAACCTTCACCGAACACACGAAGAAAAATGCATATTTTGGTCAAAGTGTGGACCATACCTTTTCAATCACGTCTACCTGAAAATACAGGTTGTTTCTGAAATAAGTAGCAAGCTTGTAAGAGGTAATAGGGCACTACAATACAAGAAAATTAAGTAAATATTCAGTGATCCGAAAGTCCACCTTTTTCGAGAAAAGTATATATGAAAGTACAGGTAAGGGCGAGTCCGACCCCGGTAGAATTACGCAGGGAAATATGACATTGCAACGCCGTATTCAATCAGCTGCTGTTTAGCAGCATCCGTGTTATATTTCTTTTCTATTTTATTTGTTAGATTACGTGTGATTGACTATTTTTATGTTTACAGCCAATCTAGAGTATTTCTTTGTTCTTTTAACGTAATAGGCTCGTATTACGTATGTATGTAGACAGTAGAAGTCATTAGAAACAGGTCAATGTTTCAGTAATAATATTGCATCGACCAATGCGTAAGTTTCTAGACGAAAATTTTCCTAGAAGTTAAATTAGAAATACAGGTTCTGTATCTTAACCGACGCGTAGTCCTAATCTAAATCCGTTTGACTATTTTGTATGGGGTCGTATGAAGCAGCGCGTGTATCAAACGCCAGTGCAGAACGATAATGATTTGCACGACCGTGTATGATCGCTGCAAATAAAATACGCCAAATGCTGGACGTTTCTGCGCAATTCAGAAATAATTTTTGTAGTGCTCGTACGTATGTGTGTGTAGTTTACTGATCTTGTAATCAATTTTTTCTAAAGGGAAGATAAGGCTATTGACAAACCACCCACAGAAAAGGTAACGCATCGTGACAGTATTTCAATGGTGCTTTGGGAATTTCATGAAATTAGTAATGATTTTCGAAAAGATATTAATTTACCTATTGAAGTTTACATAACGTTAATTTTTTCTTTTTGTGTTCTTATTACCATATCGAGGTGTAGGTACTTTAAATAGTACTGCATGCTATCAGAGATGAACAATGTAATTATTTAATTAATTGTTGTTGTAATGGAAATCTAAAGATTACGTGTAGTGGCGTAGTAGTAAGCTGTTGATATTTACTTTATTAGTAGTTCAACAACCGTCACTGTTTACGTTTTTCAACGATGTCGTTGCACAGTTGTTATCGCAATTTCTGTATACGTTCTCAATTCACGCCCAGGGCCGGCTTCGGATTACAACTTCATCTGGTTTTCTTAGAAACTTTTTTATTCTTTAAGTTTACACCACGTAGTATTTTTCAAAAGATGATGTTGTATGTAGTGTATACAGAAAATTACTACTATATGCAGACGATTTTTTTTGAGGTGGATAAAAAAACAATATTTAGTATTTCTTATTATCAATCAATAAACTATTAATAAAAAGGTAGAAAGAAGGATTATAATCGATCATCAGCAAAGAAACCTTTTAGTATTTGTAATTTCCACAATAAAAAGAACAACACCATTTTCATCTAACGCTACATAGCAAGCACAAGATGCCTGCCTCTGGGAAACCCCTTCATCTTGCTCACAACTGCCAACTGTGATACGAAAGAAAACGTATCAAACTACAGCCAGGGTGCAGCAGCCCCCCGTAGTTTTTGCGGCTCGCGTATATGCAACCAAGATGGGAATTAAATTTAAAATTTCAGTCCTCTCGCGTCACCATAAATCTTTCTCGTCCGTATTTTCGCTAACACACGCCACCACCGTACCGTCCCTATATAATAATATTAAACGCCAAATTAAGTAGAAAATGAATCGTTCGGACAAAGCTCCCCAACGTCTCACAATGTCCTGTCCTCTCTTTCACCGTTCTCTATTCTTCTTCTTCTTCTTCTTCTTCTTCTTGTGCTATTATAATAGCCGCTGCTCTCTGCTGCCGATGCTAGTGGTGGCGGGTGGATTTATTGTCGCTGCGGAAGTCTCTCGAAAACAATGTGCTGACACTACACGATTTATGTAATCGTATACAACAGTTCCCGTTCGGCGAACGCGAAAAGATGCACCGTTAATTTTAATCTGTGCGCTTCCGGAATTAGACGAAGAAGAGTAATAAAAGGAAAAAGAAATGCCAACAGCGAGAACTGAACAAAACCTCGTTGAATAACGCAAACATTTATATGTGCATATATACTATCATTGCCATAGGTCATTACTGGAGATGTGCAAAATGGTCTTTTAAAAGTATTTAAATACAAAATGCAAATATTTTTTTGATTTGTTGTTTCAAATGTAAGATAAAAAATAGATGTCCCTATTGTATTTTAAATGCTAAAAGCAAATACGTATTTTCAAAATACTTTTTTGTAGTAGATACCTATTCAATTTTCTACATTTACTCGCAGGCATATACTCATTTTTTAAACATTGGAGTTTATCTAGGCTAATAGTGGTGTTTGCACTATATCGCCAGCTGCGAAGATTGAGTATAATTCATATTTTTCTGTTTGAAGTGATTGAGATATAGTTCTTCTATCTTTATGTAATAGTTTTTTCAGTTCAGTAACAAATAATTCTTCTATATGCTTCCTTATTTGCCTTTGTCACACGTTTTAATTGGAAAAAAGACACTGATACCAAAGAGATCAGAGAGAGAAATAGAATTTCAATTAATTTTATTGATGTAAAATCAACATCAAATATTTTATATTAAAATATTTACAACTCAATTTTATTTCCGATTTTTTGCACATTTTAATAAGAGAAAGAAATGGAATCCGTAGTTTCTATAGCTTTGGGTTCATATAATAAGTGAAGTTTTTCGAATCGTTTTCTAGAAATTTTGGATTATAGGCATTTATTAGCACACCACAATATCTTGTAGTTTTCAGTTTTACACAGTTGGCATATATCAATTCGATATTGTTTTGCGGGCTGTTGTGTCGTAATTCATAGAATTTCGTAGTTCCTTGCTAAAGGATAACCACGATAAGTGGTGATTTGGCAGGTGCTGATATCAGTTTGGAACTTCAAAATTCCATGGACAATGACATTGAACCCGAAAAACAATATCAATCCAATATTTTAGATTATTCATTTCCAAGGAGTTTAGAATTTTTTGAGCTCTCTTTAGTTAAAGAATTAGAAGACATTCATGGAATGCATCTTTGTCCCCCTTTTTAAGCTTCTAATATCTTCAATAGCCAATGTAAGCAACTCCATTCATCATTTTATATAATTTAGATCGATGACACTAGCAAAACTTTTAAAGACAAAAATACATTTTGCATTTTATAAATAGAAAATACGTTTGGAAAAGTATTTTAAATAAAATACAAAATGGTATTTTTTATTTTGTATTTACATTTTAAATGCAAATATTTATTTCACGAAATCACATCTCTGGTCATTACCATGTACAGGGTGAATTATTTTTAACAAACGGAGTATATGTATATGTTTGCCGTGTTTCCACGAGCAGTATTTTCTCAGAATGTTTTTGGATAAAATGACCAAAGTGAATAAAATTCGAGTGTAAAACAAAACTATGTACACACTTTATTTACAACACTTAAACATATTCAGAACATGAAAACAATATAAAAACGGAAGACAAAATTGGCGACAAAAAGTAGATCTGGTTAAGCTGAACGACAAAACTTAACCTTTTGAACTGAACTAAGCTACTACTCAAAATGGAATCAAATCAAACCTATAATATTACCACCACCAGTACCTGCGAGAACAAAGCTATAGAAAAATATAGGAAAAGACCCAAAAATACATAGACAACATTACAGCGTAGTGCAATTAAATAAGGGTAGCTGACCGACGAAGCCTTCGCAGAATTTATCTATTGGGACCAAATGTTTTGAGAGGCCCCAACAGGGTGATATTTGTAATAATGTACATTTATACACTATAGCAGCCAATGCAGTAACTTATATAAATATTAAAAATTACACCATGCTTAATATTGCATACTTATCCCTAATCCTAATAAATACAACTGAAATTACACTGTAACA